GAAGGACATGGAGGGGCTGGAGTGTGTCCAGAGAAGGGCAACGAAGCTGGGGAGGGGTCTGGAGCCCAAGGCTGATGGGGAGCAGCTGGGGAAGCTGGAGGTGTTCAGCCTGGAGAAGAGGGGGCTGAGGGGAGACCTTATCGCTCCCTACAACTGCCTGACAGGAGGGGGGAGCCGCCAGGGGTTGGGCTCTGCTCCCAGGGAACTGGCAATAGAACGAGGGGAAACAACCTCAGGTTGTGCCAGGGCAGATTTAGGTTGGACACTGGGAAAAATTCCTTCCCCGAAAGGGCTGTCAAGCAGTGGAAAGGGCTGCCCAGGGAAGGGGTCGAGTCCCCATCCCTGGGGGTATTTAAAAGCCGGGCATATGAGGTGCTTAGGGCCAGGGTTTAGTGGTGGGATGGCAGGGTTAGGGTAATGGTTGGGCTTGGTGATCTTAAAGGGCTTTTCCAACATAAACAATTCTATGATTCTATGATTCTGTGATTCTATGAATGAAGAAGGAAACAAAATGATACTTCAGAGCTCATGTGCCAACAGAATTTATCAAATAACAAAGCCCTGGCAAACGCCCCCTGATGAGGTCAAATCATTTTGACAGCCTTATGAAGTTCATTACCAGACCCTGGTCTGGTGAAAAAAAAGAAAGAAAAAAATCATGGTCATGCTTTTCTTTTATGTGAGCTTTAGTTGTGGGTCACTAAATTGTCTTAAAGTGTATTATAGATAAAGTGAAACAGCCCAGGTGCCTGAGAGGAAATGCATGGGGCATGCACTGCCTTTGTATTTCTTTGTCAGTTTATGGCAAATACCAAAATGAGTAATATCTTTATTTCATGTTTGACCCTTGTGCTTGGAATTACCCAGAACTTTAAGGACCTTTTACCAGGTAACCCATCATTTTGAGGTTCCGTACAAATGTAAAACCATTGAATAGAAATAATGAGATGATTTACTGGCAGAGACTTACCTGGTGCCTGCTCACATGAAATGACAGAGGGTGATATGTATTTTTGAAAGGTTGTTAGGGTTGTTTCTTATGTTTTAGGACTAATTGCAAACAGTTCTGCTTCCACCTTTTCATTTAACCCTATTTGTCACTTTTAGCTTCAAGAATGTTAAACAAAAATCTACCTTAAAAGCTTTGTACACATGATTTTCTCTGTCTACCAGAAATCTGTTCTCCATGAGGAAACCCAGCAGGTTGAAGATGCTTGTTGCTTCTGTAAGCTTACTACTTCTAACAAGTCATCTTTGGAGTAGAGGTTTAACAAGGACTTGTACCAGTCCATCCTGTTGAGAGATGAACATTTCCCAGGGAGGGGATTTCTGCATGGGAAACCACAGATCTCGGGGGGGCACCTCTGAATGGGGATCCCCAGGCTGCAGTGGCTTCCAGGCATGAGGGCAGTACAGAAGTACTCTCAGTCCTGACTTGAATCAGTGGGTGCTGGGGAGACACCTCCTGTTGAAGAACTGCCCTTGCTTATTGCCTGACAAAATGAATTTTATTGTGGATGTTTAGAGACTTTCACAGAGAAAAATAAAGGTGAGGGTGGGGCGAGGGAAGATAAGTGTTGCTAAAAAGCCAGAAGCGCTAGAGTGGACACTTCCAGTGCCTGAATTCAGCTGATGCCCTTCCTCCCTTTGAGAAGGCGCGTTGCGGGGGGTAGATGTGCATTCAAGCCTTTCGTTGTAGCTGTCATCCAGCATCCAGCAGCTGTCATGCAACAGCATGGTTAGCTCAGAGGATTCCTGTTCTGATGACAAGTTGTCTTCCGAGCTCGGGAGTGTCTGATCTCTTTGCAGTGTACTTCCTTTGAGAAAATGCTTGCTAACCCAAGAGCACCAGCACGCTTGTTTGCCCCAAGTCTCGATCACTCGGCCCTGAGCCCACTTCCACTTGTTAGTGCCAGATGCAGCATGGGCCATCAACAAGGACACTCGTTACTGCTCTCCCATGATCTGGCTGGGTGCCTAGCTGTGATCTTGTCCTGCTGTAGCCTGTCAGTGTGATCTGCAGATCAGAGCTCTGCGAGGCATGGTCAGCAATGGGAATAATTGCAAAGATTTTTAACTGCTGGACTCTGACAAACATTGCTAAAAATGTGTTGGGGTTGCTTTAAGTGGATTTCAACTTTTGCTAAAGCTTCATAGGTTTTTGTGATCCTAGTAAAGGGCACCTCTGCTGACCTCATGGCTGGAGGCACTGAAGTGCTGTGAAAGAACAGTTGGAATTTTTTAATGTGAATAGACTGACCCAATTCCCTTGCCCCCGTTCTCAGGAATGGCTCAACTGATTTCAGTTAACCTTTCCAAAAACACTCAGCCTGAGGCAAAGAGAAATTCTAAGTCAGATAAATTTTGGCAAAATGATAAGTGGACAAATGTAAGTATTTATAATGGAAACCAGTGATCAACATTCACTCTAAGTCTCCAAACTGCCATGGTGTGTTGTAGTCCTCTAGCTCAGCACAGGCCATGCAGAGATTTAAATTGTGAAGGGTGTTACAAACCTGTAGAAGCTGAGCCTGCATTTGCGAGTTTTTGTCTTTGCAGACTGCTTGGCTTGAGTGTCACAGAATGACAGATTAATTGTTCTGGAGCTCATCGAGTCCAACCCTGTGCCCAGAGCAGGGTCAGGCAGAACAGGTTGCCCAGGACTATGCCCTGTGGGGTTTTGAAAATTTCCAAGGATGGAGACTCCACAGCCTCGCTGGGTAATCTATTCTAATGTTTAACCACCCTCACAGTAAAAAAGTTTGTGCTTAGGTGTCAGTGGAATGTCCTGTATTTTAAGTTATTCCTATTGCCCCTTGTCATAGAATCATAGAATCATAGAATGTTTAGGGTTGGAAGGGACCACTAGTGGTCATCTAGTCCAACCCCCCTGCAGTGAGCAGGGACACTGCTAACTAGATCAGGTGTCACTGGACACCACTGAGAAGAGCCTGGCTCCATCTTCTTTACTTTCTACCATTAGATATTTATAGATAGTGAAAAGATCCTCCCTGAGCCATCTCTTCTTGAGGCTGAACAATCCCAGCACTGGAGCCAGCATGCCAGATGTGGCTTCAACACTGCTGAGCAGAGTGCTACAACTAACCTGCTGGCACTGTTCCTCCTAATGCAGCCCAGGATGCTGGTGACCTTCTTTGCTGCAGGGGCACATTGCTGATTCGTGGTCACCTTGTTATCTATCAGGACTCCCAGGCCCTTTCCTGTAACTGCTTTCCAGGCAGTTGGTCCCCAGCGTGTACCAGTGCATGGGGTTATTCCTCCTCAGGTGCAAGACTCGGCATTTCCTCTGTTGAACTTCATGAGGTTCCTCTCAGCTCAATTCTCAAGCTTGCTCAGGTCCCACTGAATGGCAGCACACCTACGTTTGGGTATCATCAGTGGCCCTGTGGAAGAGTGTAAGGGGGTAATAGTCTGAAGGCTGGACAAACCTCAGCAGCCTTTCCACATTGTCCCAGATCCTTGCTCCCAGCATCCAGTAGGTGTCCCCAGACAGCAAGACAGGTTGGCAGATGGCAGCGTTTGTCCTCTGCAGCAGGGAGTCACCTACTACTGTTGCTCGGTGATCTCTGCTGTGCTGCTGCATGGCTCGGGCTCCATCAGCATGGGTGCTCTGATGGACAGAGTTCCCAACCCTTTATCTCCTACCTGGGCACTGAACCTATTCTGTAGCTGCAGATCTGCAGATTCTTGTTTCTGGTAGTAACAAGCTTCCATCCTTTGCCATCATGGGAGTGTCCCTTTCCCAAGCAGATAAGCACAGACTCTGCCTGCCTTACATCAATGCTGTTGGGAGCTGAGGCTCCTCTTGTATCTGAATGGTCTCAGAGAAGATCCAGCTGGTGTCTCTTTCTCATAATTTCTGATGATGAGTGGTTTGCTGGCCTCCTTCTGCAGATCCTTTACTTGATGGCCTCTACCAATGCACATCTCCTACAGGCAAGGAGACCTTCTTCCAGCCCCAGGCTCAGTGAAAGGCTCCAGGCACTGCCTGCAGTCCCAGACATTATGAGCTGCAGCCTCCATGAGGAGCTTGGTCTGAGCTGAGGCCCCTGCTGTGCCAGGAACAGTTACTCTAGGTGATGCCAGGGAGAATGCCCTATGGCATGTGACTACCATTGTTAAGCAAGTGTATGGTGCCCTTGGCAGAGTTTGTGGCCCCTCTGTGCAACCTGCTGCACCTCTGAATGGCTACTCTTAGCTGTCCTTTCAGCATTGGTACTACCCAGGCATCTCTTGCTTAGATTTAATGTAATTTCAGCTGGATACAGGAGGAATTTTCTGAATTTTAGACTAGCAGACAGTGGAGACCCTCTGCAGGGTACCAGAACTTCAAGAGGGATGCTGTTATTGCTGTGCAGAAGCCCTTTTTGGCCATGCAGTGATGGTCTGGCTCTTATTCTGCCTGGGTGAAACTGATACAGGTTTTTAAAAGCTCTAAAAAAAATTAACTGCTGGATAAAGGGAAAGCCAAGCCTCTCTATATATCATTTGGCTGAATCATATCTTAATTTGTTGTGTGCTTCCCTGCTGTGAAAGAAACTGTGATTACATTTGCAGACAACATGTGAATCAAAAAGAAAGACTTGCATGGCAAAGTAATGAAGGAGGAGGTGAGTGAGGGGTAGTGAAAGAGAGGAGGGGGATAGGACTTGACGTAGCAAACATTTGGAGCAGGTCATCAGAGGCTCCAGTATCCTGCCCCAGCAGCGTGAGTGAGAACAGCTTTGCACCTCTGAAAATCTGCCCTATAAAGGTCTTCTGTCAATGAGAGAAAACAGAAACAACACTGTGACAACTGAGGGACACCCATGCTTCCTGTCATTCTGTTACACATCTTTTCCTCCAAGTCATATTTTTACAGTAGGGAAGATGAGGCTGCAGGACTGTTCAATAGAAGGTGTTCATGAAAACCCAAAACTCATGAAGAAATTCACTGTATGTGAACACTTGTGACTGTGTAGGGTGTTGTGCTCTTCCACACTTCCTAGCTCAGCCTCTGCTTTCAAGCAGGTTTTCTTCAGGTTAAACGGTTGTCAGTGTTAATTATACCCTTTCTTTTTCAGGGAGAACTGACCATGACAAGTGACATGGAGAACCTGCAGAATGCCCTCTTCTTGGACACGGTGCCTGAGTCCTGGATAAAGAGGGCTTACCCTTCCACAGCCAGCCTGGGCACATGGTTCGTTGACCTCCTCAATCGTATCAAGGAGCTGGATGCCTGGACAGGAGACTTTTCATTACCCTCCGCAGTGTGGCTTGCTGGGTTCTTCAATCCCCAGTCTTTCCTGACAGCTATCATGCAGTCCACAGCCCGGAAGAATAAGTGGCCTTTGGACAAGATGACCTTGCAGTGTGATGTGACAAAAAAGAACAGAGAAGATTTTGCCAGTCCTCCTCGGGAAGGGGCATATGTCCATGGTTTGTTCATGGAGGGTGCACGCTGGGATGCACAGGTGAGCTCACCAAAGCTCTTCTGTTGAAATAGAAGCCATGGATGTTATATCCTTATTGCTTGGTACTTTACTTTGGGGAACTTCTCAGCCCAGAGAGGCACTCATCTAGAACAATCATTTGAGCTGCCTCTCAAATGTGTGGGAAAGATGGGCCTCTCCTCTGCAGCCTAGGCTAGGTATCCAAGGTGGTTAGATGAATCACCCCTTGGAGTTGTCTGTTTGGCAACTTGGACTGATACAACCAGTTTTTACAAAGTGAATCTCAACCTCAGTGTACATTGACTAAACTGTGGTTGGTACTCATGGTGTCACTACTGATAAAAAACATGGGGTGTCCTCAGGGCTGTATTGTCCCTGCATCTTCTTACAGTTGTGATTTTGCTGCTGCCTCCAAAAGTGCCATGGCATGGCACCTTTGCATGGTCATTGCTCTGTCACCTGTTTAGCAGCAGTGAGGAGAAAGGAGAGGACTCTGATCTCCTACATGTCCCCAGAGCTGGGTGGGTGGGTTATGGCAAATCCAGACCACTGTCCTTCCACTGTTGGGTGCTGCAGGATGTCATCTGCATAGATAGAGCTTGTGGCCAAAAATGAATCACAACCTTTAGCCATCCCTTTAAGGTGGCAAATAAAGCTTGCACACAAGTCTAACCTTTATGGTCAATGCAGGCTCATGTGGATGACTCAGTGCAGCCTGGCAGGGGTAGGCTGGTCCTGACCAAAGAGGCAGTCTTAGTGGCTCTTGCTCTTCTTCTTTCCCCTTCTGGATGTGGCTCAATACTTTTCAGTTGCAGCATGGCCAGCCTCAGGGCAGCCAAGGTGAGACCCATACCCTGCAACTGGGCAGCTGAAGGGAAACATCTACACTCACTATTTCCTGCCATAGAGCTGTCAGGGCTGCTCTTGCAGGGCACCTCTCAGAGCAGCATCCCAGAGGAGCACTATTGTCCCTGTCATTCCTTATGACAGTTGTCAGCTGTTAGGAGTGCAGTCTGCAGAGTGAGAGCCATTAGGCTGACAAATCCCCCCTGGGCTTGGTCCTCCGAGTTGCCTGGCCTGTGGTACCATGACTCCCAATTTGTGCTGTGTGTGAGAATTAAATGACAGTGATTCATGCAGCTCTTACTCTGGGCAGCCAGTGTGATCCTCCTGCTGCCAGTGATCTGTAAGAGAGTGAAGGCTGATCAAAGTGAGTCACCCAGAACTTACTTATCTGTATCGAGTTTACCCCCTTGCAGGAAGACACTTTTATTTCAACTGCGGCTCTTCAGAGGCTTAACCTTGAAGATCCTCCTTTATCTGTTGTGGGGCTTGGTGGTAGGAAGCTGAGATAGAGGCCATGCCTGTTATATACCATACCCCAGCCTGACCTTGCAATTCAGGTCTCATACTCTCCACTTTTCTGCTCCCTCTCTGAAATAGATTTCCATGAAGGATAGGAAATTAGGCAAAGCTTTGAAGTCACTGACCGATGGGATCCAGGACACGTTATCCCAAATCCTTGGGAAGGTCAAGGCTCTGTTTTCTCTCTGGAAATGGGTTGACATGTGCGTTGGGTCTGGAAAGCTACAGGCAGTCGGGAACATTGGCAAAGGCTCTGTCAGAAGATTGCAATAAAAGTGTCATGTGGGTATAAGGTCAGATCTCATGCCTTGCTGGTTTTGGCTCTACTAATAACAGAACTCACAGTAGCAGAACAGAGACTAGCCTAGTCCCTTTCTCAAGCCCTGGCCCTACAGCTTCCTGCCTATTCCCTTGGCTAAGCCATACAAAACCCCTTGCAGCTCTTGGAGATCACAAACCCTTACTACAGGGAGCATTGGATTTCAGATACCATCAAAACCTGACATTTTAAGTTGATACAAATCAGCTGGTCACAACAGTATGGAGAAAGTTTAAAAAAATCCCTGGTCTTACATATCAAATACTCCATTAAAAACAGATTTCAGCAACAGCTGTTGTGTTTTCCTTTACCATCATTACTAGAAAATATAATGGTCAAAGTGGCTGAGTTCTGCCTAGGTTTTACCCGTCCTCAAAAGGTAATGGAAGTGAAGGGTGAGAAGTTTTGGCAGTGCAAAGCCAGAAATCTTTTGGGAAATATATGGCTTCTCCCCTCTGACTCCCTCCAATAACTTGTGGGGGTGACTGCATTCATCAATGAGGTTTGTCCTCAGAGACAATCCAGACTTTCGTAAGTGTGTTTTTCTCGTTACATTTTCCTTGTGATTGAAAAATATTGAGCAATTACGTTTATAGAACCATTAATAATCTCTGTGTGTCATGCTTCAATTTATTTCAGAAAGGAAAAGAATATTTTCATGTATTGCTGCTCACACTGAAATATCATTTCCACCTAGTGGAACTATTCATTTTACCTGTAATCCAGTGAGCACCAGTATATATTAATGGAGGCAGCATTTTTAAAACAGGTGCACAGTTCTTTTGGGTTGTATACTCCTTCCAAATTAATCCTCTGATAAGAATGGCAGGGCATGTTTAGAACTCCTCCTCTGGGGAACACCTCCACTTTTAAAAGAATATTTCATGTTTAGATTGTGCCTCCAAAAAAAGGAAAAAGTCCCTCTATGCTCTGCTACTCACATTTTCTATTTATTTAAACATTTATGTTTGCCCTTGGGTGCCTTAAATTTATAAAACATTCATTACAAAACAGCAGGCAGCTATTAGATGAAATGAAACCAAGGAGGTTATTTTGGGTCCAAATGATCTGTTGCTGTAGCACTGTTAAAGTCAGTGGGACTCACTGGCTTATGAGAGAGAGTTTGACTGGTGACACTATGGACATTTTATCTCAAGCCTGGGGAGATTGCTGGCTGATTCCTGGCTTTCTTGCTCCCAGCAATGAAGGGTTTGATGCCAAGTCCATGCCCTGCTACTCACCAGGGGTACTGGAGCAGGATAAGACAAGGGAGGAGGTGGGTTTTGTACCACATGTGCCACATGAAGCTTTGCTTGGAAGAGACGCACAGTGAGTGTGCAGCGTGCCGAGCAGTGGTTTAAAACTGAGGGTATTGTGCCTCCTTCAAGCCACACCAGCTATAATTTCTGTGTACTTTTTAAAGCTATGTAAAGCACCAGTCTTAAACCTGTAGAGAGGCTTAGAAGGGAAGATCTGTGTGGCAAGGAACAGTCACATTTGATGGTTCAAGTAGTTTGATATCTTCGGGAACAGTTACATACCATAGAATAAAAGAATCATAGAATGTTTTGGGTTGGAAGGGACCCCTAGAGGTCATCTAGTCCAACCCCCTTGCAGGGAGCAGGGACACCGCTAACTAAATCAGGTTGCTCAGAGCCCTATCCAACCTGGTCTTGAATGTTTCCAGGGATGGGGCCTCCACTACCTCTCTGGGCAACCCGTTCTAGTGTTTCACTACCCTCACTGTAAAGAATTTCTTCCTTAGATCCAGTCTAAACCTACCCTGTTTTAGTTTAAAACCATTACCCCTTGTCCCATCACAGCTGGCCCTACTAAAAATATTTTCCCCATCTTTCCTATTGGCTCCCTTTAAGTACAAGCCTTTGAGTACAAGCGTAATGTACACCAAGGTGTAGTTGTTCATTCTACAGTTCGTCTGCAGTTTTGCTTGAACATAGTTTTCATATCTTATACTTACAACCACCTATCATGGAACTACTTCATCAGTTTATAGTAATTTCCAGCAAGCAATACTTCAGCTGAAGATTTCTAAACAAGCCTCCAGAATCGATCACAAGTTTGCAAGCAACATATAAATAATCCCTATCAACATATTTTTATATGTCATTGTTCCAAGGGGAAACCCTTCCATCCAGCAAAAGATAAGATCTGTGCCAGGCAGACATGCAAATACTCGTAGGTCATAGCTTTTTCCTTTGAAAGTCTGCATTGAAGGGCTTTGCAAAGGAAAGCGTCCACTCCACAGAAACAATAGTAGAGAAACACACCAAAAACTGTAGTATTGCTTCTCCGTGCACTAGTCTATTAATGACACATTGGTGTAAGGTTCCTCACAGAAGCGTCTCTCATATGAGGTTATTAGCATGATCTCAGCAGTAGCTGGGCTTGGGGTACTTCAAATCCTTTTTAAGCATACACCTGACTGCAAGGACACGTTGCATATCCAGTCATATACAGGCATTCACAGAAACCATCTGCTGAGGTAAGTTGTCACCTGTTTGAGTTACCTGCACCTAGATGCTAAGTCCAGCATCAGCAACTTGCCAGCTACTGCTGCCTTCCCAGGTAGGAGCAGTAGGGTATGGGGGATGGCTACTCCCCAAGAACCAAAAAAAGGGTAAGAAACACAGGCTGTACTGCTGGAACGCAGGGGATGTGGCATACACAGGTCTCCATGAAATTATGGCAAATTTTATTTTTTCTCCAGACCCAGAATATGCTGTCTGAGCAGCCTGAGCTAGTGATGATGGCAGGAACACGTGGCCTTTATAAAAGCTTGTCCCAAGCCTTTAAACAGCAATGTCAGATGACGGGAAGGAAAAAGGGAAAAAAGGCATCTGACTTCTACTTACCACAGTTACCAAACTTAGTGATTCTGTTTTGAGAAACCTGACTAGGAGGCAGTTTAAAAGCCACCAGATATGTCATTGTTTTCTAATTAAAATCATAAACTGAAGTGTCTGAGCTACAAAGCACTAACAAAACACACACATATACATATTTCAACATCCCTAGCCAAGTTTAGTTCCAGCTGCTCCTTGGCCTTCCTGACCCCATCCCTACACAACTGGGCAGTGTCACTGTACTCTTCCCAGGATGCCTGTCCCTGCTTCCACTGCCTGTGCAGTTCCCTCTTCCTCCTTAGTTTGACCAGCATCTCTCATCTCAGCCATGCCAGTGTCTTCCCTTCTTTGCCCGATTTCTTACACCTAGGGATTGAGAGCTCTTGTGCTCTGTGGATCACATCCTTAAAGATCTGCCAGCTCTGTTCTGTTCCCCTCTCCCTGACGACTGTTTCCCAGGGAGTCCTTCTGACTTTCTTGAAAAGCTGGAATTTTGCTTTCCTAAAATTTAGGGTTCTGACTATACTCTTTGTTATTCCAATTTCCCTCAGGAGTGTGAGCTCCATCAGCGCGTGGTCACTGCAGCCACTGTTTTTTATCTGAGATGCTCCTGGCAGTGGATGCAGATGAAACATCATCAGTGTCCTACCCAGCCCTGGCACAGCCCAGTTCTGATGTTACAGTTCTAAACATCACAGCTTGCCACCTCTTCTGCAGAGGCACCAGGTACATCAAATTTCATGCATCAGAGATTGACTTTCTTCCCAGAAGGGTGATCTGGGACATCATATGAAGCCTTTTCCTGCAGATACCAACTGTCAGTAAAGCCCAAGTGTTTGTGAGGTATGAGAGCAAGAATAGGAGGTGGGTCAAGCTCAAGCTGAGGTCTCCAGTGATAAACTTACAATGCAGCCATGGGGGGGACACTTTCAAATTGTGTTGTGAACAGCCAGTCTCTTACTTATGGTTGTTTTGAAAAAAGTAATAACTTGCCAACCCCTTTTCCATCTGTATCTCAACTCTTAAACTACTCAGCGATAAAAATTCCTCTCTCATTTGGCTTTATGGGACAGCACATTAGGTCTTCCTCTACTGTGTGCTCCACAGATGGCTCTTTTTCTTGTTCCCCCTGTCCAATTGAAGCTACTAACACCAGCAGTCTCTGGACCACCTTGGAGTGATATTCCCTGCTGGCTACACCACTGGCCAGATCACCTGCAAAAAGAGGCAACTCTATCTGAAAGACAACTAAGCCATCCTGAAGGTCTTTAAGCCAACTGACCCTAAGTTATCGATGGTGCAGGTGCATCTGTGCTAGTAACACCTCAAAATGCAGTTGAGCAGGAGGGCATATTGACTTATTGCATATGTATTTGGGCCCATCTGTTAGCATCCCTGGCTTGTGACACCTATCTTGTGTCTTCAGACACATTGGTATGTGGCAGCTCAATATGTCCACTCTTCAAATTGCCTGTTAAGAAGCCAGGACAAGCAGAAGTCAAGAATTCTTTAGAAGCTGAGGCCCGAGGTCTCTCAGCACAGAACAGTGAGTTTTCACCAGGTGTGCTGTGTCAGTAGTTAGGGAAAATTCCCTTCAGAGTAGAATTAATTTCTGATGATGAGGGCGATAAAAAATGCAAATGCAAATCAGCCTAGACGTAACACAATGATATGTTCTGCAGAGATACCTGAGGAAGATTTCAAGTCTTGTTAACCCAGAAATAGGTAGAATATATCATGGAAATTTGATGTGAAGAATTATCAGTAGTAAAAAAAGAGATCTGATAAAAATCCAGCCTCAGACATGAAAGATGTGGATTTAAAAGGAGCGCATAATAATACCTGATAAATAGCTTCTTTGCAAGGTATTATAAGAATTATTCAATGTTTGTTCAGCATGTTGGAAATATAAAATCCTAAATCAGAGTTGGATTTATCACAGCTTAATGTAACAGATGGCATTAGTACAATTAAACCGAGGTGTGTCGCAAGTGGGATTATTTTTCTTCACTCATTTGCAGAACTAAATAAACTACTAGAGAGGTTGAATCTCATCCCACAAGTATGATCTAAGAGCATTTGAAATAATAATGATATGTGAAGCTAAGCTGCAGTGAGAGGTAGTTTCTTTAGCACTGAGAAGTCTTCTTTCCGTTTCTGTATTTGTTTTCATTTGGTCTCTCTAGCTTCAATTAAGCAATTTTGCAGGCTTTCCTGGAAGTTGACTGGTGCGTAGGGCATTTTATTGTCAGAAAGAGAAACAGAAGTTGCCAGAGAGACCCAAGTTCGAGAAAGAAGCCATTGATTTCATGCCCTGAGAGCATACCATCCTTCTCCTGGCTCAGGCAGCCTGCTGAGCAAGAGCAATGCTTTGAAGAGGATAATGTGTACTTGTTATTTAATGATAATATTCCCCCAGGAATAGCCCCTCTGATTCCCCATTGTTGGTATGAGCACCTGTGAGAGTGGAAACAAGCCTGTGGTGCCTTTTAGGGCTGCACAAAACATTGAGTGCATTCATTGCACAGGCAAGTGTATCCCAGGTGATGCTCAAACTTTGGTGGTGTGCTGGGAGACTTACTTGGTACCTTTTAGACTCTTCTCAGGTGAGCATTGTTCTCCATCCTGAGCCTTGTTCAGGTGTCCACAATTGGTCCCAGCACAAGCAACACTTCCCATGAGGTAGTTCTGGTCTCGCAAAACCTTGACTAAGAGCAGCACGAGGATGATGTGGCTGGACACCCCCCAGAGGGGTTGTGGAGTCTCCTTCTCTGGAGATATTCAAACCCCGCCTGGACAATGTCCTGTGCAACCTGCTCTGGGTGACCCTGCCTTAGCAGGGGGGTTGGACTGGATGATCTCCCTTCCAACGCCTGCCACTCTGGAATTCTGGGATTCCGTGACATAGCCAGGAACATTATTTCCCTGCAAAGTCCATCTCAGGTGTGTATGGGTTTCAGCATCTGGTGAGAGCAGGCATCTGTATGTGCCCCTTGGAATAAGCTACGCTTGAGGGGGGGTTTATTTGATCCAGACCCTCCTTATCTCAAATAGACCCCCTTGATCTCAGGAAAGATGCTTGCACTTGCCCATTAAGTCTGGCTTGTTTAAACATTAGAGAGGGTCATGCCTATTGGGGTACAGCTGATGGATATCTTGGAAATCTAACTAAGACTTTTTCTTCTTTCCTTTGTAGGCTGGGATAATCACAGATGCCAGGCTCAAGGAACTAACGCCGGCCATGCCTGTCATTTTTATCAAAGCCATTCGTGCTGACAAACAAGTATGTACCCATGTCCTGTGTACAAAACACGCCAAAGAGGGCCAACTTATGTGTGGACTTTTAACCTTAAAACTAGAGAAAACCCTTCCAAATGGGTGCTCGCTAGTGTGGCATTGTTGCTACAGATCTAGGCTCACCAGCAGAGCGCCTCATTTGAAAATCCCTAATGATGTCTTTCTCAGACAATTAAAAAAATAATATCCTGAGACTGAAGCCAAGCACTGTCTCTCTGAGTACTGGGCATTTAGCCAAAACAGAGCCTGCAAGGAGGTCACAGAGGTGCAGAGATGCATGGACTAAATTCTTGGCTGCTGTAAATCAGTGTCCTGTACCGCACTGCTGCACTTGGAGCACTGGAAGATCCCAACCCATAGCCAGATCTTTCACACCCAGAGAGTGCTAAGCTCAAATCTGAATTTAATGTTCATTTCTCTTTTGTGATTCAAAGTAGTTCTAAAGTCAGTGGCCTTCTCTAATACCCTTAAATAGTTAGAGCTGGTTCTTTTCTATACATGAGTGTTGTTTTGTTATATGTGCAATGTCAAAAGTTGGGGGATCAGCAGGTGTTGTGGATACGAACTGTTTCTTGCTAATATTCACATAAATTTTAGAAACATTAAAAATAGTTTTGATTTCCAATGTGCTTAATGTAATCAACAGTAAAGACACAGCACAGGAATTACTTAAGTAGAATATTTCACAGTGATAGAAATGCACTAATAAAGGTCATTATGCCTGGACTAGTCTCTAAAAATTGCCTGGAGGCCTGTATCACATGTGTGCTGAGGCCTATATCACATGTGTACTCACAGTATGAAGACTGCATGCAGGGTGATATGGGACAAATGCAGCCATTTGGATAGTTCCACTTATAATTCTGAATGCAGTGGGTGAGAACTGATGTGTTTCTAGAGCAGAAAGCGCAGAGAGGGATGACTGGGCGTGCATTATCTTAATGAGCCAGACACACAGAGCATTGCTCTGGACTGCAGAAGCTGAGCACTTGGGAGCTGGGAAATGTGAGATGTAGGGTTGTCTGGGGAAATGGAGTTGTGCCATGCTCTCTGTGCCATCTGCAGTGCTTTCTTGCACAGCACAGAACCTTGCCACTCTCTAATATTTACTGTTTCTCTTCCTCATACAGTACACATTCCGCATACACCATGCAAGCAGCCATGGGTTTCTCATCTGTGTGGTTCACTGCCACCTCTGAGTTCGCTGCGGGTATCAGCCTGTAAGGAAACCACTTTCATTTCCATTTCAGAAGAGGCAGCTGAACTCAGGGCTTCTGCTCCTCTGACACGGCCACTGCACAGAATCGTAGAACCGTTTATGTTGGAAAAGCCCTTTAAGCTCACCAAGCCCAACCGTTCCCCTAACCCTGCCATCCCACCACTAAACCCTGGCCCTAAGCACCTCGTATGCCTGGCTTTTAAATACCCCCAGGGAGGGGGACTCGACCCCTTCCCTGGGCAGCCCCTTCCAGTGCTTGACAGCCCTTTTGGGGAAGGAATTTTTCCTAATGTCAAAAGTAAGCCTCCCCTGGCACAACTGGAGGCCATTTCCCCTCATCCCATTGCCCATTCCCTGGAAGCAGAGCCCGACCCCTGCCGGCTCCCCCCTCCTGTCAGGCAGTTGTAGGGAGTGATAAGGTTTCCCTTCAGCCTCTTCTTCTCCAGGCTGAATACCCCCAGGTCCCTCAATCGCTCCCCATCAGTCTTGGGCTCCAGACCCCTCACCAGCTTTGTCCCTCTCCTCTGGACATATTCCAGCAATGCAACATCTTTCCTGTAGTCAGGGGCCCACCAGCCAATTCTGTTCCCACTGCCTGCATGGTGGCATTGAAAATTTCAGGGTCCTGTTTCCAGGCAGCTATGGGGTTCATAGGGTGGGAGAGATCTGCAGGTCTGAGTGAATCACCTTGAGCTGCCCTGATACCCTATGAGGTACTTGGTCCTCCCACCTCACCCTGCACTGGTTATCAAAGAGGGGTCAGATCTGGCTCTCATTTCCCTGAACTCACTGTGAAGAAATGGAGTGGCTCAGACCAAGATGTTCAACTTCTAAACTTCTTAAATGGGGTGAACTGGGCTTGATCAGCCTGTGGTAAGGTCACTGGAACCATGGAAGAAAGATCTATCTCCATGTTAGAAATTATGCTTCCCAGCTGAGTTTGAAGCTCAGCATTGCAAGAGTCCTTGCACACCAGTAGGCAGGAAAGTGTAGTGAGTTGGTAAGGGCAGTGCATCCATGTACCATGTCTTCTGGGTTGCCCAGCAATGTATTTGCACCTGGGACAAGCAGCAGCAGTACAAGATGCTCTATTTGCCTGAAATGCAGCTGTGGTGCTTATGCAGTGCTCAGGATGGTGGAGCAAATCTTGAAAGGAATATGAGTGAGAGTCTCATGTACAAACCACAAAGTGTATCTGGGGATTATTTGCTGTATTGCACTGAGCCCACTCTGACCTGCCATATGCCTTCAAGCCCCCCTGAAGAGCATTTTGGATCCTGTGGAAGGTTCCTCCCAAACCTAGGCCAAGTCCATTGCTGCATCTCAATGACCAGGAGCCCATCAGCAGCACTTGAGAACTCTACAGAAAAAGCTTTCCAGAGAGGCCTATAAATCAAAGGTTTCAACAGACTATTTGTTCCTCAGCCAGAGCATCCTAAAGAGGCAGGTAAGTATGAAATCCCCTAACAAACAGAAAGCCAAAATCTAGGAAGCAGCAGTGCTGACGTCCCCCTCTGAGCTCTACTCCACATGTTGCAGTGCCTGGAAGCATGGGTGTGTTGCATGTCATGCTCCAAGAAACTTCCAGCAGGCACCACAGTCACTCCTTTTCTGTCACCATATGCCATATACCACCACCCTTCCCTGGCCTGATGGGAAATGCTCCTGTGTTCAGGGCAGGTCTGCACAACCCCGTGTGCCATTCACTTATAGGCAAGGGGGATGCTCACATGGACTCATCCAGCTTTCTATTAAACTGAGACTTGGGGAGAGCCTGGTGACGGGAGATGGAGAAAAGGATGATTCAACTAATTGTCAAGTTCCATCACGTCAGTGATCCACATTTTGATCTCCTTTAACCCCTCTCACTTGCATCCTGCCACTCTTGAAGGTCTTGCTGTAGTTAAGGATGCAATTAGAGGCTTGAAAAGACAGATATCTGGACCTGTACTGGTTTTGGCTGGAAAAGAGTGAATTTTCTTCATAGTAGCTTGTATGGTGCTATGTTTTGGATTTGTGTGATTTTTGATTACAGTGTTGGTAATACAGGGATTTTTTAGTTATTGTTGAATAGTGCTTGTACCATGCCAAGGGTTTTTCTGCTTCTCACACTGCCCCACCAGTGAGTACCCCTGGGAGGGGACACAGCTGGGACAGATGACCCCAGCTGGCCCAAGGGATATTCCATACCAGATGATACCACATTCAGCAATAAAAGCTGGAGGAAGGGGAGACATTCGGAGTTATGGCATTTGTCTTCCAAAGTAATCATTAATGCATGATGAAACCCTGCTTTCCTGGAGATGGCTGACCCCCCCCCTGCCAATGGAAAGTAGTGAATTAATTCCTTCTATTGCTTTGATTGCACACGTGGCTTTTGCTTTACCTGTTAGACTGTCTTTATCTCAACCCACAAGTTCTAGCACTTCTACCCTTCCTACTCTCGCCCCCATCCCACTGGGAGGGAGCGAGCAAGTGGATGTGTGGTGCTTTGCTGCGTACCAGGGTCAAAACACGACAGCATTTCTGTGGGTAGTGTTTGGCTTATCAGCCTCACATCAAACTGAACAGCTTTATGGGTGGCCTCAGCACACACTGATAGGGACACGGCCAGCTCTCTGCCAGTCCAGCATATCAGCTTTCCACAATGTATTGTCCTCCTATCCAGAGTAATGTAGGAGGGTAAAGCCCTCAGGTTTGCAGGAGATCCACAGTAACTGTCGGTCTGAGCAACACAGCAGTTGTCTTCCTGCAGGAATGAGGAGATGCAAAATCCTCGTCTTTGCAGTCCTGGAGTATGATGATGACCTTCTGGACCAAGGTAAGGTGGAAAAACTTTCTGGTAAGAACTTTTTTTAATTACCAAGCAGTGCCTCCAAGGCACAGCCCCCAAAAATTAATGATGAAAAAGCTAGTTATGGCTTAGCAAAAGACATCTGCAAATATCTAATACAAGGGAGAGAGCTGTCTCAAGGTCCCTATTTTAAAATGCCTCTTAACCCATAAATGAGGTAACAGATTCTGTAGACTACCCCACATAATGAGTATCTGGCTAGAAGATGTCTGTTAGCTAGGGAAAGCTATACTATTAAATTAAATCCCTGTCAATTTAAATGCAAACCTGCCAATTAGATCTGTAATGTAAACTGGTCACTTCCCACAGCTTTGCAAAGTTGAGTGTATTAAATTCTCCGTGTATTTCACCATGCAGGAGCTTTAGTTGCATAAACAGAGCACAATTAAACACATAAAAGCAGAACCAGAATGTACAGTAAGTGCATTGTGCTCCAGATAACATTGCTGGATTAGTCCTTTGGTATTTCTTCAATGTTTCTTCTACCACAAGCTCCTCCATATGTGGGATTTCCTGCCGTTCTGGAGACTGTTACTGTCCTAAACTTCATACTTTTTCTCTTTTAAAACCCATCTTCCTTTTTCCAGCATCTTGGAGCTTCGCTATTCTCAGTGTTGCCCTCCAATGTGCCCCCACACCTACAGGAAAGGATAAGTTCAGTAATTCCCCAGGCACTGCTTGCTCTTTCCAGAGCAACAGCCTGGGCTGTTCTCTTGCCAGTGGAAGAAGAATGTGATGTTGACAACAAAATGAATCCGATTGTTTTATTATATATATCTTCCTGCATAATTCACCAGTTGGGCAGGCAGGGTAGTGGGGAGATATTTATAGATACTAGAAATGTCACCAGGGTGCTCATTCTTAATCCTTTGCAAATCATCACAGGAAAGAGTTGGCTGCAAAATGCTCCAAGAGGATAGTGAATAATTTGATGCTTTAGGGGGAGAAAAAAATATGACAGGCGTGAGATTTTCCAGCCATATCTGCCTAAACCAGGCAATTAAATACAGCTGGCCTGGCTATTCATTGGGAGCGATGCATTAGTCAAAGGTGAAGGTTTTCTGTTCATGAACTCTTGGAGACAGCTGCCCACTTGGCATT